CTCTCTCTCTCTCTCTCTCTCTCTCTCTCTCTCTCTCTCTCTCTCTCTCTCACACACACACACACACACACACACACACACACACACACACGTTTCCGTTGAATCCTTACTTCGTGCTTGTCTGACTCTCGTTGTTGTGCAGACCCTGACATTGACAATGTCACCGACAGGCAGAGACGCTGTCCCCGCTCGATCATCGCCCATTCAGGGATTTCCGCAGGGTACCCCCGATCCTCGCCATAGGGTCGATCGATCTCCATGTGCAGCGCGGGGGTTGTTGGGTGTTTCATCGCACAGCGGTGGTCCGGAGGTCCGTTTGGGAAAACGGCGCCGCGGTACCGTTTCGCATGCGACTGACAGTGTCGTTGGCGCGGGCGTGACACCCATTTCGCCTTTCGCCGGTGTGCTGGGGGCATCTCCGCCGGGTGTGGCCGGGTTTCGTGACGCGGCCACGTTTGGAGATGTGTACGGTGCTCCGTTGCTGCCATCCCCATTGCTGCCTAGACGGCTGGACTATGCGGCCACGATTCCTTTAGCACCTGTATGGTCACATGCGGTGGCCCCGCCATGTCCCGCTGGAGGTGGTTATCTTCCAGGAGATCGCAGCGACGCTTTGCGTTCTCCACCCGTTTCACGTCGACGAGTCGTCGACGCGGCGGCGGGTTCGTTTGCGGTGCCGCCCCAGGCTCCCTTTGTCGATCCAGATTCCACACCTCCGTTTGACGATGTGGATGGCTCAGCGGCACTCGGCGGCACGCCGTGTTCGGGCGGCAACAACATCGTGCGAGTGTGTGTGAGGGACGCGTGTCGGAGACGGTTGTACGCTCTTCGCGATGCTATGGCTGGTATGGGTGACCATCGCGGACCGGTCAGCGACGTTATTGATCGGCTGCTGCACTGGTCCTTGCCTGCCATCCGAGCGGAGTTTGGAGACGAGGTAGGGGATGCGATTTCTTCTTCGTTGCCATCTCGGGTGTGTGGTCGAGATTTCACGTTGCGTTATATGCCAGGCGATTTCTGTGTTGACTACGGTCAGGGGGGTTCACAGGGTTCAGCGAGCGAAGGGTTGGGTGAGTCTCATGACGGATCGCAGAACTCCTTCCCGTCATCGCGTCGTGCATCACAGCGCAGTGACAGAGGGCGCGACAGACCCCGCAGCACGGGTCGCTGCACACCGACACCTGCCCGGCCGCAGACGTGGTGGGATAGTTGGGACGGTGTTGACCAGCGCGGTCCTGGCCCTGAAATTGACCGTGCCAGTGTTGAGGAGGCGATGGGTAGATGGAGTGGACCGACAGCGCCGGATGTTGTGTTTCTGGAGTCGGTTAAGCTTCTTCAATTGGTGGCCATGTTTCATCTATATTGCCCGTGGCACAAGGGCTCGTGCCGTGTGTCTGTGAAGTCCGTCTCCTATCCTACGCAACTCTGTAAGCTAACGTTCGTATGCGACAAAAAATGCAAATGGACGTGGCACACGACACTTGTGACCACGAACGTCTATCAGTCGCGACTGATGCAGCAGCTCTTTCATGCCACGGTCACCGCCGGCCTTACGTTCACGCTCCTCGACAACTTTTCTGTTTGTTTAGGGATGTGCTCGGTGCACAAACCCACATTCTACAAGTTTATGCGCACAGAACCTGGGGGGGCGGAGGGCTGGAATGCCAAGGTCGTACGGCAGGGCATAAAATATTGCGAGCTTGCCATTGACACTGTGATGCGCCGTGGTGAGCCAGTGACATTGATGGTTGATGGTCGATATGACTCTGCCAGAGGCGCACAGCATTGCACTATCACCACGATGGAGTACTAGACTCGGCTTGTTGTAGGTGTTCACACTTTCCGTCCGAAGATTGAAGGCAAGGCATCGAATGCGCTTGAGGTGCCAGCCGTCGTGCAACTTTTGCGAGGGTTGATGGACAAGGGGTTGAAGATCTGGTGCGTTGTCTCGGATGATTATGCGGCGTTGGGACCGAAGTTGCAAGCTATGAACATCGAGTGGCAGAAGGATTGCCACCACAAAAAAAAAACATTCGAAAGCACTTCCACAGTATGCTGCAACTGAAGGAAGCGAAGAAAGTGAGCAGCCCGCACGACTGTGTATCAGAGGCGCAATTCATGCAGTTCACGAAGAAGCGGCTAAAGGAGGCGTTGGAGCAGCGTTTTGGACCTGACGTCCTCACACCTGCTGAGGAGCGGCTGAAGAAATCGGACTTCGTCGCAGTCGTCATGCGAAAGATGTACCCCTACGGATCGAGGTTGAATGCTCGAGCGTTGGAGACTGATCCAAACAGCTTGACAGAGTATCATGCGCATGAGGTTGGGATGTGGTTCCTCCGCGCTTGCCAGTTGTGCAGGGAGGAGGGCGAAGACGCTAACAGTCTACACCGCGACATCATGTTGGTCGCCGATCATTGGGTTGGTGATAATTCGGGATGTGTGGACGGTAGGGAAGTTCTGTGCGAGAAGGCCGGTGGGCGTGCACGATTGCCTTTATATAGCCGCACAGACACGGTCTACGAGCTCGTTCTGCGTGTTCTCGATAAATAATGCAGCACTAACATCACGCCGTACTACGTCGAGTTTCGGCACACATCAACAGAAAAATTCCCACGAGAAATGAAAGTTGAAAAAACATTCCATTAAAAAAAATTCCTTCGTATTTATAGATTATCATTCAAATGTTCGTCCAATTCTAAACTTTTTAGTTTTATTTGATAAGATCCCGTCTAAATATGAGCTTTCCCTTCCAACTACATCTATTTGTTCAAGATGGAATGGAAGTGTGGATGAGTTTATGAAATGTTTTAATTAAACTTTCATTCTACTACAAGAAATATCTTCTAATTTAGATTGGATTAACCTATTTATGACTGAAAATCCTTACTTCGAATGACAGTCTAATTAAAATATTTCATAAACTCGTCCAGAATTTCATTCCATCTCTAGCATGCAATTTAAATAAGAAGGGATACCCCATTCTTGGAAGGAAAGTTTTCAAGTAAGACGAAAAATTTTAGAATTGGAATGACATTTTTTAAGATGGAATGAAAATTTAGAATTTAGAATGTAATTTCACTATAGAATGATTATTTAATTCTAGGAATTTTTTCCGTTGATCGGCGGTGGAGACTTTTCAGGGCACCATCATTATCTATGCGAAGAAATCGGTGCATTTCAAGAAGTTTTTCTGTGCACGTTTGTCGATCGCAGTGATTCGGTGAAACAGTCACTGCCGGCGCGACCCAGTCGGGTATGTTGCTCGCATTGTTGAGGGCACTTCCATACGTGCGAGACCAGGCTTCCGTCGACACTACGGTCACGAGGCGATCGACTGTTGGGAGGACAGATTGACGGCGTCAGTGTTCGGTTCGGCTCATGTTTCAGACTGGGCTCGAGAGCTTCTGCGGCAGGAGGTTTGTCCTAATGGAGTCGGGTCATTGCCGCGTGATTTGTTCGTCAACGGTGGGGGTGAAGCAGTGGAAGTCGTTGATGATGCTGCCTCAGATTCCGACCATGAGGCGGTGGGGGAGAGCCGTGTTTTCATCATCGGGCACGTGGAGGACGATGCGGTGCCTGCATGCGATGATTGGGTCCAGACATTGAGCTCCGAATCTGAGGGTGACGATATAGAGTTGTTCAGCGTTTGACTGGTTGAATGGCTTTATCGTTGACCTGACATCGGTCTGGTGATCCGAATTTCATTGAGCATGGCGTTGTTCACACACATCTCATGGTGTCTTGTTTGTTACGCTACATTATGTCCGTCTCTTAACTTGTATATATATATATATATCTATTTTTGCTCAGTCAGACTTCCAAGACTGATGGAAAGGCTGTATACTACCCCGTAGGGTTACATTTGTATTTTTGTTCGACTGAGGGTTAATCGTGAGACGAACATGTGAGGAAAATTCGTGAGGGTCATATCTGTAAATATGGAAAATATAGGCCCAACAGTATTTCGAATTTCCTATACGTACCCTTGCTGCGAATAGCAGGCCCGGACTACCCCCAGGACAAACAGACCCTAATGGCCTAAGCTGATAGACAGTTCTATAGCCTATAGTCGGGTTCGGTACAGGCTGAGAGGCCGAAACTGCAACGGTGTTGGTCGGTTAGTCAGTCCGGTATAGTTGTAGGTTAGATTAATGTACTCTATTAGTAAAGGGAGGGAAATCGATTGGGGAACAAGAGACTGGAACAAACTCTGTTATGATATTCGTTCGAGTTGGCTCATCATCATCATCATATGAATTGTGATCTTGCTGAGGTTCTTTATTGTGATTGTTTGTTGGGAGTCTGTCGGAGAGTGAGAGTCATTGTCTGACCTCCCCCATGTGTGCATGGTGGAATTCCGCTGCTTATCGTTGTCTGTGTGCAGTTTTGACTCTGTCACCTCTTCCCCTCTTCTTATGCATGTGTGGCCGTGTTTGAGATTTTATGCGTGTGAGTGCCGGAAAAAAAATCGTCAGACATTATTGTGATATATATATATATATATATATATCGTCACAAACAGAACTGTCCGGTAAACCGTAGGCAGAGAGAGAGAAGAGGACAACAAACGAGGGGCAGTGAGAAACTGTTTCGTCGGAGTTTCACCGACTCATCAGGAGGCTGAATATATATATATATATATATATATATATATATATATATATATAATGTTTTATTGTTTTTTTTTTCACACATGTGATGGTATCTTATGTCAGTTTTTTGAACTTGAGTGGTAAGAGCGAGGATTAGAATCGTTTTTTTCACACATCTAATGCTACAATGATATACAACAGCAAAAAGAAATAAATGAACTTCAAATGAGAGATCGAGGATTATAAGAAGAAGAAGATGATGTACACCAGGGAAACCAAATTTTACATAATGCAATCCCTCCAAGTCACGACAATAGGAAATGTCAGTTTCCAGGCAAACACACAGTCGGACTTACATACGTACTCACACTGAAGGCAAGCATACTCTCTCTCTCTCTCTCTCTCTCTCTCTCTCTCTCTCTCTCTCTCTCTCT